GGGAAACGGCACGGCAATGTCAGCAATGGGCGGGGCATCCCGAGGCCGCCGGCGCCTGGTTGAAGCAACTGGCTGGCGCTCTGTTGTAGCCGGCTCTGGCAGCGGCGGCAGGGATCCCCCACAGCTTGTGGCTTCTGCTGCGGTGCCCGGATCGGTTTCCCACAATGGAGCAGCGGCCGGGAAGGAGCTGCTCCTGCCCACCAGCCCCAGGGCTGCACCGGGCGCCAGAGGGCCAAGGCGGCCTCCGACGGCGAGGAAGGTGGGCCGGGTGGAGGCGTGAGGACCGGCTCAGCTCAGCTCCCTCTCTCTATTTCTCTCTCCCTCTCAAAGATCCTTAAAATCCTCCCTCGCCGTCGAAGGCCGCCTTGGCCCTCTGGTGCCCAGCGCAGCCCTGGGGCTGGCGGGCAGGAGCAGCTCCTTCCTGGCTCGCCGGGCTCCGGGTCTCAGAAGCGGCCAGGCGGCGGGGAAGAGGGCGAGGCAGCGGCGATGCCCACATGTGCGTCGGAGGCCAGCCAGCCGGCCCGGGAGGGGAGAAGCGGTGCCTTCCGAGCGGGAGCTGGCGCTCTGGCCGCACCCCTCTTGTGTGTGACAAATCGGGGAAGGGTTTGGCGGTGAAGGGGTGCGCGGCGTGGAAAGGGGCTCCCGCGACCCCACCGCTGCGATGGCGCTTAGGAGGCTGGAGGGGCGGACAGGTCCCGGAGGGGCGGCTGGGAGAGGGCAAGAGGTGCCGGGATGAGGATGGAGGGCTCCAGGTTGGCGGGCGCGAGAGGACGGCCAGCAGCTCTGAGGCGCGCGGATCCTCCGCGCGGCTTCTGAGGCCCCGCAGGTGACGCCGCTTGGCTCTCCACCAGGCTCTCCACCAGAGCCTGCCCCCTTCCCCGGGCATTCCGGCCCCGGACCTGCGCCGGTCAGCTGGAACATCAGGCAAAGCTTTGGCCGTGCGGAGGGTGGAGGGCAGGCCGCCGCAGCGCCGAACTCCTGCGCTTGTCACTGGGAGGTCTGGCGACAGAGCCGGCTGGCGGAGGACGATGGAGAGGCGGCGACTCGGCGGTCGGGGTCCTGCCTGCCCACCCGACCCATTTGTAAAAGAAAAAGTCTTCCGCCCAAGCATAACGCCAGCAGTTCTGTGACACGGGGGCTTGGGCCATGGAGGCACGGGACGCGGAGCGGCGCTGTGGGAGGCAGCAGGACAGGGGGGAGGGTTTACCTGCATCCTGCCAGCNAATTGTTTTTCCTCTCTCCTCTGCGCGAGAAAAACTTTTGCCGCCTAAATCTGAAATGAATCCCTGGGGAGGGTGGGGCCTTGCTCTGCGCCTGCGCTCTTCACACGCCTCCTGCAGGGCACATTTGGTAAAGTTCGTGCATGCAGGCTGCCGCCAAGCACAGGGAGTAGCACAGCTAAGGAAAAGGGCAAAAAAAAAAATGGCGGATGGAGTGGTTTGGCGACCCCCGTGAAATGGTCGTGCGACCCCAAATGGGGTCGCGACCCACAGGTTGAGAACCGCTGGTTTATATTGTCAAACTGATTTCTAATCTCATCATGGTTTGAAACAATTATCATTTGAATCTGTCACAGCATTGTGTATATTTTCTCCTGGAATGTATTTGTATTGTCTTGAGCCATTGTTCCTGCAGATCTTTGAAGCTCCAAACTGGGTTCTTCAGGAAGAGGTGTTAGGTATGGTTTTATATTACTTTTAGATAGGTATATAATATCCATTTTATCTTTCCCCTCTAAATAATTTTCTATTGGTGTCATAATCTTTTTAATTAGTTTTATCAAGCCAATCCATCTTAAAATCCAAACAGCCAAATCTTACATAGTTCTTGTCTTTATATAATAGTTTTATAATCCAGTACGTTTCCAGTTGTCAAGGCACCACTGAAAACAATATTTTGTGGCAGGTTTCTTTTCAGGGGTCTTATAATTATCAGCCAGTCAGGATTCAGTTCAAAGTATTTGACTATCTAACAGTTTTCCAGTAATTTCTCCTTTAGAAGATTAACCAAAGGCCAAATTTTTTCTTTTTTTGCAAACAGTTCTTAGGTTAAGATTTAAGAATGCAGTTCAGTGTATCTATAATCCCAGAAGGTCAGCAGTTTCTAAACATATGTAGTTTCACTCAGTAGTAGATAACTCAATGCTTTGTTCCCAGCTGTTTTTTGCTGGTTCTAGGCATCTTGCCAAATTCTAGGTCAGTGCTCCTATAGTTTTCTCTAATCCCCCACTAGATGTTATTGTTCATTTTTCAACTTTTTAAAACAAAGAGTTATTTTTTGTTCTTCTTTTTATATACATACAATTTCATCAATGCTTTTTCAGGTATAGAGTTTTAACAATTTTCTTAGCTTTCAAATTTATCCAAACTGTGGGTAATGTTTATTCCCAATAAGGGTTTAATTCACTGCTTCCATCTATAGAAGGGTGAGGCAATCCCCCCCTTCTCACTTTGGGAGGCTTTTTGCTTCTTGGGGATCTTAGGTATAAAATAGGAGAGAGAAGATCAAATTCCGAACCCAGTTTCAAGCATGCTGTTCAATGTTGTGCTGATTAGTGCCTTTGGACTTCGGCTGCAAGTAGCTTGGGCTGGTCAGTGACGTGTGGCCAGCCTTTCTCCTGTTGAGTTAGAAGGCCAACGGAGAGGTGGCAAAACAACCGCCATCATTCCAGAATTGTCAGGGCACCCTTCTTTCTTCGCCACCTCTCCGGGGCGACTTAGACCCATTTAGGGTCCCCTGGCAGGGCAAAACTGGCTGCAGGGTCCGGAGGTCCATGATCCCAAAACTGGGCGCTACGGCGCAAGACCGGAAGTCCTGGATTTCATTTTATTTAGCTTTATCTAATCAATGTCTAAATCATTACTGATTTCTAGAGAAAAGAGAAATAAATCTGAAAATATTGCTAGTCTCTGATTCTCTTTTGGTGATGGAGATATCATTCACATTAATCCATTGGTACAGCTCTGATTTCCTTGGGCTACCCATGAGTTGACATGAATGATACATAGTGATCTAAAATGTTATCAAAGTACCTTTTCCCATTAAATGCATACAGAGGAAAGTACAAGAAAATTTAGCCTCAAGAATAGTTCAACTGGATTACTGCAATACAGTGTTGTTATGAGTTCTGAGAAACTGCAGTTGGTGAATAATACTAGACTTTTTACTTTGGTGTAATACCACTTACCTTACTGTATTTCTAGGACTAATTGGCACTGACAGATATTTAAAAGCATCCTTCTTAATGTGTCATAGGTGCTTCAGAAATCCCGGTATGTCAAACCATTAGAAAATTTGCTTGATGGAAATGCCAAACAGGCTGTCTTCATGTTCCTTCCAAAGAGAAGTTAGATTAAACCTATCCCTGATGGCTTTTAGGGAATTTGGGTTGCCACTGAAAGAGGATAATATATGGGAATGGCTTTGGGAGGTTTTCCAATTCATGGATGTGTCCCATGAGCTAAGTTTAAGAAGGTCATAGTTTAATGATTTTGGTTTCTTAAAGGAAAAATATGAAGAGGTTTTCGTACATGATGAAAATGCTTCTCGGGATATAAGCTCTGCTGAGTCGTTGCATTATGCGCTCCCAGCTACAGGGGCAATGAATCCAAAGGCAGTTTCACCAAGAAAACTTCACGTGAGGAGCAGGCCTCCCATCCGAGAAATCACTTACTATAAGGCCAAAGATGCTGAAACAGAAAATGACCTTGAAGATCGTGAGTTAATGTTTTTAAAAACATAATTGTTATAATTTTGATACTGTACTTTTAATAAAATTTTGTTAGACACTTTTTCCTAATACTTAAATTATTTTAACTTGATATCACTGATATATTTTTTAAAAAATATAATAGTTAAAAAACCTTTTTGATAGGACAAAAGTATTCAAGGCTGATAAGAAAAGTTTTTGTATATGAGCCAAGGGATGGGCCTGAAAATACCATATGGCTTGAAAAGTATATTCTTAGAAACAGTTTTACTGAACAAATGAATACATGTAAATGTCTCAATGTGGGCTTTTGAAATCAAGAAGAATTTCACTGTCTTCACTTCCTAGGTTGTGACCTCAGACTTATTCAACTGTTGATGTATAGATTATATTATATTATATGGTATGAATTGTGTTTCTAGGACTTCCGTCACATGAGACAATTTAGAGCCTGGGATTAAGAGATTAACCTTTCCATTTGGTCAATTATCCTGGTTAGAGGGTGAGAATGTATGGTGTGCATGAGTGTTTGTCTTCCTTCCCTGACATGACTCATTTGCTGTTGAACATATGGTGCTCTCTACTCTGCAAAGTCCTTCTTTCAGAGCATCTGCTCTCTGTCACTGTCACTCTGTGGACTAGACTGCATGCAGCTTGGAGCAAGCAGGTGTTCCTGCTTCATAACTGGGAATTGGATTATGTGGCCTCCACATTTCATTCCAAATCCTATTTTGGTTTTACCTACTTGTGGCTCTATAGTTTAAATGCAATTCAGAATTCAGAGAATTAAGCACATACTCATACATGACCCAACTCAGTTGCAGGTTTTAAAATATATCCCGAAGGAGATTTGCAATCAATTATTTGTGCTATAATTCCCCAGCTATTTAGTGGACATATGTTTGTCTACTAAACAAAGCTGGAAGGCTGCCAGTCAGCTGTTGAAGAAGGAAAGTTGGATCCTGCTTCTTTGCTTCCTCTTCTCTGCCAAGCAAATGATCCGAAAGATGACATTTGCTTTTACTAGCTTACATATGTTCATTCTCCATTCTTGATTTAATTAGTATTACAAACGCCTCTCAGAGGGAACGGGTACAATGCCTCTCTGTTTAAAGGTGACAGTTACAACACCTGTCTTATGACATTTATATCAGATGTTTCAAAGATGGGCCATTACAGACCAATTTTTAACCTTTCATGTTTGATTGTGATGTTGGTGGCTTCTCTAGAAGTTCTGGAGAAAACAATTATCTCTTTCCATTTGAAATTGGTTTCAGAGAGAGCTACAGATCAAACTGATGGGTGACTTTTGCTTGGAGACTGGCATCACCAGGAAATGTTGGGAAAAATCATTTTGCAATACATTTATTCCTATCCCTCAGAGAGAGTTTAAGTGCAGTTAAATCATCAGTTTAATTATTTTTTTTCCTAACCTGGTGACAGGGTGTCTTGCCCTTTTGAATTATGAATGGATTTGAGGAGGACAGTATTTTTATAACTGCATCAAACTACTGAGGAAAATTATAAGGTGATTTGGATTTTAATGTAACAGAAATAGAGATCTATTTCTCTGTAATATTTCCAGATAATAAAGTTCCTGACTCTGAATGTCTAACTGTAGCTGGTAAATTAGGACTAATAAATCAAACCAAATTCAGTAAGATGGACATCTCATAACAGAGTGTTTTAATTCCAGAGAATAAATATATCTTCTCTTTCTGGATAGAGTTATATTCTCCCAAAATGAACAGATTCAAAAACTAAGTTACATCTGGATCTGGATCTCTCTCTGGTTTCTAGATTGAAGTGGTGATCAGGAGAACTTTTTATTTTGATTGATACACCAGTTGCACTTTATCTTGAGGAAAATTAATTTAAAATAGCAATAAACATACAGACTTGAGTACTTCAATGTGCTCTGTGTATGACAACCTATGTATCTAGTCCAGACGCTTAATTAATGCTTAATGTAACAACCAGGCTGCTGCCTGGAAAGACTTAAAGACAACATCATAAGTTTACTGAAAGCCAATTTATTTTGGTGCACAATATAAAATTCTGATTATTCCCTGCTTGTGCCTGGTTTACAGGAAATATCTTCTTCTTATAGGAATATTTTGTGTATTGAGATACTCTGGGAAGTTTTACCTTCAGATGCCACGAAAACGTGTGGAGGAATTTCAGAACGGAACCTCTTGTGTAGCCAACCCTGATTTGTAGAATGTGCTCATTGTTGCAATGGGAGAACTTACTATTAAAAATCTTTAAAGTCATGTTTTTTCCAGACAAGAAATGATTTTAATGTAAAATACAGAGTTTTAAACATATTTTATACTTCATATTTTATTATCAGTTATAACTGTATAATTGATAAAAATGTAATACTAAAAAATCTGTGTTTTAGCAGAAGAAGAGTCTTTTAGTGGTGATACTATAGATTTGCTGATTGAGGACCAGCTTTTGCAACACAACTACCTGTCAAACGTTCCTTCAAGGAAACCACCACCTATGGAAGATCTGCTTTTACATGATGATATTCAACTCCTGAAGGTGCATGTTACAAGCACTGCACCCAATGGAAAAGAAACATCTGCGAGCATTACCACAACAACAGAATCACCACTGTCTTCCACAGGCAGGTTGCTTCCTCTAGAGTCAACCCCAGTCACTACCTCATCAGTTGTCTCTACCAGTACTACCCAAGTCCTGGAGACCACAGCAACAGCTGAATTTCCAGTAACTGGGGCAGCAGATAAAAATACCACATGGACCTTGAAAACACTGCCTCAGATTGCCACTCAGGCTCCCACAATCACAACTACAGCAAAACAGAACACAGCTACTATGGGGGGACCCATAATTAGCATGTCCACAACAGATTTCCATATACAGGTGACGCCTGAGCCTACATCGAGTACCATGATCAAAGCTGTGACCTCTAAAGCCTCTGTGAATCCTAGCCTTACTGTCACACCAAAATATAGCCTCGATGAGGAAGATATAAGAAACACCATTGGTGAGTTTTCTTTTCCCTCCCCATTTATCTTATTTCATTTCTAGTGACTTGGATACCATTAGAATGGAATAAAGAAAGCTCTTACTTTTGACCAAATCAACAGAAGGGGATTAAATACATTATAAGTAAAACAATGAATGCATGGTGTCAAGGACTGCAGAGAAGTTAAAAATCATGATGGGTAGAGACAGCATAATAGATCAGAGCCTGATAGATCAGAGGAAGAATCTGAAAGGGATTTGGTGTCCCAGGGAAAGGGTTAAAGAGCGGCCCTGTCATGTTACAAGAACACAAGTACTGCCCAGGAAGGTCAAAGGCTTTTCTCCTTAATACAGTATTATTTCCATGAAATCTAAATTGTTGCCCTCTGTTATGTTTGGGTCTCTGCTGGTCTTAAATCACATTTTTGTGCTTTATTTTATTCTAGTCTATGAAATGCAGACTTATACTGGATTTTTCTGTTTTATCTTTGCGAGATAAAATTTGTTTTCTAGACGAATGGATGAATGAATTGGGCAGAGGTTGATGTAATCTGGAATTATCTGTTTTTTCTGGCCTTTTATTTCTATTCATCAAATCAGTGTGCCTGGCTGACTGCCCCAGGCCTTCAGCAAGCAGGGCTAGAGATTATCTGTGCATCGTACTGTAGTTCTTGTTTTGAGAATTGGGTGGCCCTACTTATTTTAAGAATTTCCCTTACTGTGTGGTGAAACCAGAATCAAAATAAACATATAAATTCCAAAAGACAAAATGTCTGGTTCAAGACCCCTGTTGCTTACCCATGTTGATCTATTACTCAGTCCTAGACAGTGCTTTTTTTGTAAAAAAAAAAAAAAAAAAAAGATGCCGGAACTCACACACGTCATACAACCCGCCTTGCAAAGGTTTACCTTTGTAGTTGAAAAAGAAACCCTTCAAGTTCAACTTACCTTGAACAAAAGACTAGGATTTTGTTCAAGGTAAGTTAATACTATTAATGTTATCATGCACTGTGTGGCTTTAAATTAGAAGATTTTATTAATCTTTTGGGACATTTACCACTGGCATAGCCATTTAGTTTAATGAGTGGAAATGTCAGCTTTCTATGTGGAATGAAATTGGCCCAATAAAACAAAATTTGGTTGCTTATAAAAGATTGAATTATTTTTAAGAAGTTGTCAAGGTGGAAAAATTTACATTTGGAGTTTAATATGGGTATTGACTTGAAACAAATTAAGTTGAAACTTTGTCAGTGAACAGATTACTTTTAATTTACCTTTAAGTTAAACCCAATTTAATAAATAGATCTGATTAAACCTCAAATCTACCTCAGGTCTACCTTTACATCTGACCCAAACATAATTAATATATACACCTCCAAATCACAAGACATTGGCTTTATTCTTATTCTTCCCCTCTGCAGTTTGAATATAAAGTATAAAAGACTAAAAAGAGATTTTTGTAGACTCCCAGCCTTTGAACTACCCAAGGAACCGAAACAGCAAAGTTTCGCTGTCGGGCAAGCTTCCATGCCAGCCGCCTTTCTTTCCTCTTGCTTCGCCTCTTTTTAACCTCACACCCCACCTTCTGTAAGGGAAGGCAAAAGGCTCATTCACCCTCTAGTGAAAGATGGCCTCCATGTTTATGTTTCTCCCACTGCCACCATCGGCTTCCACGCCCCACGGTCCGACCCAGACAATCAAGCCATGCTCTGGCTGTGGTGCTCTGGTGCCTCATGGCTCCTCCTAGAGGAGGTAGAGGACCCCGCTCGCACAGTACCGCCAGTGGGGCATTTTCAAAAGCAAACGAGGATAGGAATGGCAGCAATAGAAAAAGAACACAACTCTGGAAAATCCATCGAAAAAAGGTGCCGGAACTCTGTTCCGGTGCATTCTATGACAAAAAAAGCCCTGGTCCTAGAATTTGGTACAAGTAACTTGTGATGCCTCTACTTTAAAAGATAGTCCTTGGCTATCTTTTGGGCCATCATTGTTCTGTTTATTAATATATTCTTGCTTAAGCACTAATCACAAAAAATAGTACTAATCAGTTCCCATATCTTTGGTATGCATATTTATGGGGAGAAATAGTTACAGGTTGGGACTGCAAAGGAAAGATGGTAGGCAGATAGTGTGTCTCTGCTAACCATTTCTCCTGTGCCAACCATGCCAATCCTTATTAACTTCTCAGTTTATTTAGCAATAACAAACTACCATTTCTCAGCTACATTACTATTGAGTAGCTGAGGTTGTTGTTTGAGAGCAGTCTCATCATCCAGCCCTCACTATTTACTCTCTATATCTACTTTCTGGACCCTTGGTAACCCTGGGCTCCAGCTGCTGCTTTTGTTTCTGTTTGTATTTGTTCTAAATTACAATTTAATCATAATGAAGTTGACAAATGGCACGTATAGCCAAGGCCTAGTTAAATGTATAGAGAGTAAATATTTTTTGTAAATAAACCAAATAAACTACATAAAAAAATAAATAGAATAAACCAAATAAACTAAATAAAAATAAATCAATGGCCTTCAATCAGTGGGTGCTCCATCACTGGAGGCTTTTAAAAAGAGATGTCTGGAATGGTCTAGGGTCTCCTGCTTGAGCAGGGGGGTTGGACTAGAAGACCTCCAAGGTCCCTTCCAACTCTGTTATTCTGAAATGTGTACACCCAGTTTTCAGGATTGCTATCATCCTAGAGCTGGTTGGAGGGTGGGATGCTAGTACTATCTGCTAGAGTCTGTGCTGCAGATAACTGAATGTCACATCCTGGATTGAAATCAGGTTGTAAGGAATAGCTGGAACTGCTGCTGATGTACTGTATTCCCTGGTGCACAACACCTAATCTATTTGACTTCACAGCAAGAGATCCTGAGATTGTTAATTCTTAGGGATTTCAGTTGGTCACCAAGCAACATTTAGTTGGGGGCAGATTACGGAATGGTAGAAAGAAGTGAAATGTCTTTTTTTTTTTTTGCTGTTTTATTGAATCCACTGATAGCTGTCTGGTGGCCTGTTAAGGGGGGGGGGGAATTCCTTGCTGGGGAAGGACAAAATACTGGAAATTTTGTATAGCATTGTAAGGTATATTTTAGTTATTTGGCAGATAAAATTTCTCAAATCCACTCAGATTCGGGCAAGTGTGGCCGAGATGCTTGGGGCACAGTTTTGTGTTGAAGGAATTGGAGCCTGTGATGAAATGGATAGGTTCTTTCAAACTGTGAACTTGATTACCTGTCATCCAGGCTCCCCCCTAAATTGTTAAGGCTGCCACTGGAGGGGGAAATGACCTGAGCTTGGGTCCATATAGTTCATACAGTGGTGAGTTTCTTTGAGAGACAGAATTATTCCTTTAACCATGAAGGAGGTGGCTGTGTGTTCCTCCTCAAGAAGTTATTGCTGAATCCAATAGTCCTGGACAATTTTGTCAAATCTCAAATCTTCCCTCTTTTGGAAAAGTGGTCGCTGTGGTCAGGCAACAGCCATAGAGGACTCTGGAAGAATCAGATTATCTGACCATTTCAGTCAGGTTTCATTTCTAGGGTATAGAACAGATCTTTGGCAGAGCTGGGATGGGAGTGATATGTTCTTCCTTGTGCTCCTTGATCCTCAGTGCTTTTGATACTATTGATCAGAGTATCTTTCTGAACAGGCTGTGGGATTGAGAATAGAGTGATGCCACATTGCAGTGGTTCTCCTCATTTTTCTGTGATTGTTCCAGCATATTTAGGGTTGATGGGATGGGATGACACCATAGCGGGAAGTATGGTGCTCCTTTGTAAGTGATACAATTGTTTTATTGCTTTTTTATTGGTTTTTTATGATATGCCTAGGCTTATTGTGCATGATAGTAATCCATAAAAGTTCAATAAATAAACAAACATCTACATGAAACCACTGAGTGGGACCATCGGTTGATTCACAGGGTCATCAGTATGCTGATGACACCCAATTATATATCTTGTCCCAGTATCTAGAGGCTGTACAGATCTGCATGAGAATAGGCTCAATCCTGAGTAGCTGTGTATATTTGGGCCCTCTAATCTTGGGGACTTTCCATCTTTTAAGTTGGGTGGATAGCATTTCCAAGTCTGATGCACAAACTGGTCTTGGACTTATAAGTCCTTGCTCAAAGAGCAGATGGCAGTTGTGGCCTAGAGAGCCTCTGCAAAGAGCAAACTAGTGCATTGCTTATACCGATTCCTGGATTAGCAGGCTACTAGTCATTAGGCGAGACCCTAGTTATCTCATGAATGGATTATTGCAATGTATACTACGTGAGGCTGCCATTAAGACCACTCAAAAGCTACACTAGTAGCAGTGCAGACAGTAATGGACATGCCATGGGTGTAATCATGTGGCACCAATTGCTTCTGGATGCAATTCAAGGTTCTGGTTATCACCTATTAAGTTCCACATGGCATATCCTGGTTATTTGAGGAAACACAGGAAAACCAGGCATACGAGATAGCTCCAGGTCCCCTTGATTAAATAATGTCACATGTTGAGTCTTAGGAAGCATCAGAGATCTTGAAAGGATAGCATCAGAGATCTTGGAGTAAAGCAGTCGTTAAGCCCTTACAGGATGCTTGTGTTTGAATGGTTTATTTCTGAGCACATATGATCTTTATCTTTGTTATTGTTCCCTTTAAAGTGTCAGCCACCCAGAGTTGTTTAGAGTTGAGCAGTCTCTACAGTCCCTCCACTCCCTCCCTTTGTGTAGAAAGAAAGAGAGAAGCTAAAACACCTTAAAGCTTTTACACATACATAGGAAGTTCTAAACATTCTGTTGCTGTTTCAGGTCAATGCAAGGACACTTTGTCCACTATTACTGGGCCAGTAATTCAGAATACCTATGGGCGGAATGAAGGTGCTTGGATGAAGGATCCCGTTGCCAAAGATGAGCGAATCTATGTCACCAACTATTATTATGGCAATACCTTGGTGGAATTCCGGAATCTGGACAGCTTCAGACAAGGTTTTATGTTTGCTCTATACTGTGGGGTGAATTGCTAGAGAAGATAATTGACAGAAGAAAAGAATTCTGGGTTGGGAAGTCAGGAGAGATTTGATGCATCTGAGGAAAAATTTAAATGGAAAATTGAATTCTTCCAAACACAAGCATTTGGCTTTGGGGAAGGGATTGGAGAAAAGGACAGTTAAAGTGAGTTTGGGATCAAAAGTCTTAGAAATCTGTGAAATAAAAACTACATTACAGGTGGTTCTCAGTTTGTACACCAGCTGGGGCCTCCTCAGTTGGTGCTTTTTTTGTGCTGGCACAGCTGGAGCCTTCTTTTGCAAAAAAAAAAAAAAAAAAAAAAGACCCTAGCTGATGCAGAGATGGCAGACCTGGTTGGTGCCCGAACAGGGCTAGGGCAGCTAGTAGCATTGGCTAGGTGGGCAGCCAAAAGGGCTAAGATGGGGGAGAGGTGACATAGGCAGATGGGGAGAGTTCCAGAGGATGCAGTCCCTTATTTTACCAAGGCTCCAGAGAAGGAGGGACCAACCCAGAATGCCTTGACTCGAAGTGGATCCTTACCTATCGGTGGGATTCAGTTAATGATGGCAATGGGGACTGCCAGGATTGCCATTCCTAAGTGACGTAGTCATGTGACATTGTCCCTTATGACCACAGTACTTAGCAACAGAAATCCCTATCTCAATTACAATCATTAACCAAGAACTATCTGTAGAGAATTAAGCCCAGAAAGGTGTAGCAGGTACGTGCCAAATACAGCACTTCTTCATCAATCTAGTTTCTCCCTATAAACATACATAGGGGAGCTAAATGGACTTTCTATTAATGGCCAAACTGTTTGAAATCTGTTAAATTTGGAATACAAAATTTGTGGTGCTTTATCTTTCATTTTAAGTGCTTTAGATTTACTTGCATATGTTGATGTCTTTACTTTTGGCAAGAGTCATATAAACTATCCATGGCTGTATGTATGTATGTATGTATGTATGTATGTATGTATGTATGTATGTATGTATGGGGTCTTCGGCTTCGTGCTTGTGCGAGCATATATATATATATGTATATGTATATATATATGTATATATGTGTATGTATGTATGTATATATATATATATGTTTTCTGAGGTTTTCGCGGGTGTTTGTATGTAGGTCTTTGGTTATTTGGGTTTTACGCGGGAGAAAACACGAATAACCAAAGACATATATATATATATATATGTCCTTTAAAATTCTAAAAATTGGAGGATGACTCCTGGGTAAATTCATGTTCGAAGGGTCACAAGCAGTGAGACCACCAGGAGATTAAAAAGTTACAAAAATTTATTGCTATTAAAACATTGAAACACCTAGCTTTCGCCGGCCTCCTGCCGGCTTCGTCAGGGTGACTAGCCATCAGTGGGGTAGCTGTTTTTATAGGAGCGGTGCCTTTTGCACCCGGCTCCTAGATCTCGTGACCGGGCCCC